GATGATGATGTGTAAAATGTCCCGGTACAATATTAATAAAATTGTAAATCTTATAAAATTTAGAAATAATATGTGGAGATCGATGATCAGATCTTCAGGTGTACAATTAATTACCAGAAGAACAAGTACATATTGCTTGATTATCATACCAACAAGTTTTTAATCTAGTTATGCAGACTCTATTCCAAGTCCTTTTGTTTTAAAATTAATTAATGGCCAATGTACTACTAATGTATTCTTTCAATTCCCAAGATAGATCGGTTTAAATATTTATAATCTGTATTGATGAAAAAATGTTCTTGTCTATATGCAAATTTTGATTATTATTGCATGAATGTATTTGTTAGCCTTTTTAGGGGGTATAATAAATGTTTTCTCCGGCCCTGGATGGGACTAGATGGTATAATACACCCTTTTTTTGACAGGGGTATATCGTCAAATGTCTGGTGGGGCAGGAGGTAGTGTCCAGACTTTGTCTGACTTCCAGGATTAACTTCCAGGGCAAATTTTCAAATGATACGATTATTTCCTCTTTTTAGTGGACATCTTATTAGTGGTTATTTGAAATGTAACCCGAGACCCAAATAGGAATGTAACAGTCTGACATTCCCTCAAGACATTCAAGATCAAGACATTGTACAAATCTCAAAAAAATCCATATTATTTATTGTAATGATAGCTACCACATGCATTGTATCCACTTTCTGTATTTTCGCAATGCGAGAAGGATGTCAGACGATTGATTGTCGAGTAAATGAGCTGGATTTATTCTCATTCTTCCCATTCTTTCATAGATTCTCAGGCTTCCAAAAATAATTCTAACTGGTCTTTACCACGTAGTATAACTATAATATTTGCAAAATTATAAAACATCAATACTACATAGGTATACATAACTCAACTCTACAATAGAACCCAAAATAATCAATTTAGAACGAGACTAACTTACCAATCAAATTAATTCAATCCAATTCATTACCACGTAATAAGATTCTATTAATTTATTGAGTAAAAACTAGTCAATCTATGCATCATTTTGCTAGAGGACTTTCAACTTTGCAACCAAGACTATAAGTGTTATAGTCCGAGTCAGTAGTAGAGACTGTTTTTTGCTTGAAATCTGTCTTTGTTATGCAGAAGCAATGAATCGATAATTCACTGCTGTCACGAATACTGTAATATAACAGCGATGATGCTGTGATTATACTAGTGTATCTATCACGATTATGTCTGGCTAGCTACTTCCACGCGGTTTTACTCGTTACCTGCCTAAAGGGTAAGGCGAGAGAGTAAGGGTAGAGACATCCTAGTGACAGACAGACGGACTGACAGACATCGGAGTTTAGTTACAGGGTTTCATTTTACCCCTTTTCTTAAAGGGGTATCTAAAACTTTTTTTTATGTCAGGAGATAATCATTAAATAACTTCTCCCGCCCAGGGTTAGGCGAGTGAGAGTGTCAGACTCTTACTGACTAAAAACCCCCGTTCCTTCTCCTGCTCTGGGCCGAGGTCGCGGTGATTCATTGCGCTTAACCCGCAACCCCGGCTGAAAGGGTATCTAACCCTGCGATGTTTATCAGAGTATCTATGTGCACGTTATATTTTTATGTGATAGTAGTACGACAAACGACCAGACCGATCACCTGATGGTAAGCAATCGGCATAGTCCATGGTCATTCGCAAAGCCAGAGAAGTCTTTAGTGTGCTGCGGGCCTTCTCGGGATAAGGGATTTGTGTATTCGGATTAGGGATGGGAGAAGAGGAAAATTGGTCGCAAGCGTTGTTTTAAATCGGTCCATAAATGCCGAAGCATGGCTCTCCTACACTGGAAAATATCTCCAAGTAATACTTTGGTATAATATCTCGGAAACAAGTTATTATATGTAATGACACGCACAATACTCATTTTCCTGTTTCCCGTGACACGGAACTCTTTCTTATGTAAGTTGTAATCAGTTGAAAGTAGATCGATGACAAACACACTGAACATACGGACGCACAGAACTTATACCTATATACATATACTAACTTTGTATATATTACGCTGTGAGAAATCACTTAGGCCTCTTTTCATACAGAGAAGATTAGTGTTAATAGGTCTTACATCTCAGACAAAAAATGTATGCATTTTTCAAAATTCTGAAATATGTTCATTAGTGTTTCTATTTATCTAATTTAAATCCTATAACACTCATACATATATCTACAAAAGTTAAAGTCGAAACTTGAAAATAGAATTGTCCGTAATTCTTTCGTCAAAATACATATAGATTAACAAATTGCATAACGAGCAAGAAACCCTTAACAAGATCCGTACACGATCTTCACAAACGTAATATTATCTGAATATTTCATGACAAAAGTACCAGTAGATGAACGGCACAGAGGCCCGTGTAAAAGAAAGAAAAAATACTAATTGTATTATGAATCTAAACTTAACTAAATATATATAGTTTGCCTAACAGCGACGTTGAAGCCAAAGAACTCGACACCGATCACCATAAAGTAGTAATCATCAGCTAAATAATAATTATAACAATAATCACCAATAACCATTTAATTAGCTTTTTATTAAATGCCAAAATGTTTAGCAACACAATTTTAACGATGAAGTAAATTCTTGTTATTTCACTTAACAATAAAACTGGTGAAGCAACAGCTAAAGCTTCGCAAAACGTCTCGAACTAATCTTACGACATTTTCAATGAAATGGATTTTTAATGAAATTGAGTAATTTTTAATGCGGGCTTTACTTCTAATTAGGGGTAATTAGATTCACTTTTATTTGTACTGAATGTGTTTGAATATGAACTGCTACTGCCTCCACTACTTTTTTATGAAATTAGGCCTTCATTTATTGGCTAAACTTTGTCACCTTTTACTTCATCGTCATCGTCATATCAGGTATCGTTATAAGAGATTTCAGTAATTCCATCTAACGTGCCTTTTACAACTACATAACATATTGCATTTATAATATGTATTTAGAAATGTGCAATTTGGAAAAATTACAAACTGAGCCCTGGCTTTCTTACTACGACCAGGGTTGCGGGGCAATCACAATGTGGCACTGCGGCCTCGGCCGAAAGTAGGAGAAGTTGCAGGGGAGTTTCTAGTCAGTAAGAGTCTAACCTCATGCTGGACGGGAGAAATCATTTGATGATTTTCCCTTCATAAAAAAAGCTTTATAACTTTTTCTATTTTAGTACAGCTACTTGACGTCTATAAAATTTGTATTCTAATTTGTCATCTTCTACCCCGTTGTCTACCAACACCGAACTCGCACTTGTCTACCAACACCGAGAACAGCAAAGCTCACTGATAAATCAAAAACATTTAAACAGAAATTTCCAACCCACGTAGATACATAATTCTATTGTAGCCTGTGATGGAAGATAGTGAAGAACCTCGCAATACAACAAAAGGAGAAAACCCAAGTCCCTAAGCTAATACAGACAATCACAAAACTGAAAAACCAGAATCTAATTCCAATTCGTGTTAGGGTTAGGTACCTACATACCCAAACCACGCTTGCACTGCGGTTGCAATCATAGAAAATGATCCAACAACAAGACCTACCAACTCACTTATCACGTCAAATGATAGAGTTTCAACAATGACAGCATAATCGATGTCCAACGAAGCAGAAAGCGAATGCATTTCCCAACAAAAAAGCGTGACAATATAATTCAGTGACATTTTACATACAGTGGCTTGATAAATAGTAAGTAGCAGTTTAAAGACCAAATAATGCTTAACTGACCAAAACAAAATGTTTCCATATTTATTTGTAACATTAAAATCACACTGTCTCTGTACTTTCCTTTGTGCTCCAAATGCATTCAACATACACGTTTTGAACTGTTTTTGACAATAAACCAGTAAACATTGGACCAGTAGATGGAATAATGCTATAAAATTTTAAAATAACCATATTATCTGTTTATCTACATCTAAAATTACACAAGCTGAAAAATCTTATATAAAACAATATTAAAAAATTAAACAATAAACATTTAAATTAAGGAAACAATTAATGTAAGAGTGTCATGCTCCGCAGATGCGTCGATGCGAATAGTTTACTTTGTTCACGATACCACGACCTCACGGAAAAGCAGCGTGAAATAAAGCTCGCGTTGTGTTTTGCCTTGTAAATGAGTTAACCGGAACCCTAATTCTAGAATCCCGAAATTCCCAATTTTAACATCTCTAACCTCTACAACGCACACTTCGCCGTAATGGGCGGCACCAATTAATTACCATTAGGAAATCCATCTGGTTGTTTACCTATCACAACAAAAAGAAACATCTTTAAAAATGTCACTTAGGACACATCGACATGACACGGTCTAGGTAACATGAGGTGCAGAGAAAGCACACTTTCCATTTCTAGCTGACGACGTATGGCTGACGGGAAAGTAATGCAATGGTGTTGACAATCATGCGTAACCTATGACTATGCGCAATGGCACATAATGCGGCCTTGTGTAACATGCTATTTGTCTTAAGATGGACGGACAGTTATGATCTAATGATATAGGTTAGTTTGTGCTTGACTACGTGAACAAATATGACGCTTTGGGTATTGTCGTAATGCTGCTCGTATGTGTTGAAGTATCTGCGTAATATGTGTTTTGTTATCGAAGAGGTAAATAATAGTGAATCTTCAAAATCCGAAAAAACTTTCCACATTGGTCACTGTAATCGCAAAGACGACTATCGAGCATGACATCTTGAATTAAATCTACGAATTGTGTAAAGTATTATTGAGTCTTAGAGTTTCCAAACTAATAACAACAAACAGTTTCATACTTAACGATTTTCTTTTTGATAATTAATTATCAATCCCAAAAAATATGATGTGTACAAAAATATCTTGAAATGTTTTTTATTATTTTTCAGATACAAATACATCTTCATAATCATATCACTACTCTTTGGGACCGTCTGCAATGAAGAAGCAAAAACAGCAACCTCACCTAATTGCCCCTTCACAAAGATGATCGAAGACGTATTCAAAATTCAGAACAAGACATCAGACAAAGACTCGTACAAAAGAGATAAAGAAAGAGTAAAATTGTTCTTGAGCACTTTAGCTAATATTACTAACGATAATGTTAGTAGAAAAGATGAAGATCTCATAAACGTTATCATTGCCTCAATAAACAGAATTAAAAATAATATAAGTGACACATCGGACAAGTTAAACGAAGCTATCATAGTAAAACCTTCTAAAGAAAACAACACAACTGAAATAAAGAAAGCAAGTCAAATCAAAAGTGGCATTGAAGATAAAATTGATATATTTCTTAACAATTCATCTAAAAAACATACAACGAAAAGTATAGAAAAGAATGACGATGACAGTACAACAGAAACTACAAAATACGTTGAGATTTTAACAAAAGATCCTCACACAAAAAATTCTACGTCTGCTAACATTTTAGAAGTACTGAAGCATTTGATGCCTTTATTTAACAGTACGTTAACTAAAGAAGTACATAACATAACTATAATAGAAAGAGATCATAAGAATAATCATTCATTTTCTGCCACTAAAAATGTTTCGACCATCATAGTCACATATTGTGATAATGATAATAATTTTGCAAAAGAAAATAAAACTTTGGTTAACAAGAAAGGTGATGATAAACCTGAAATTGATCGTGTTGACTTTTATGACGATGGAGACGATCTGGAGTTAGATGGGGAAGGAGAAGCACATAATATAACGAAAGAAGAAAACAGAGAGATTATGGAAGCGGCTGAGTATGGGATGCAGAAGATGCATGAGTTGTACTCTGTTTTGGAGCCTAAGCTTTATTCTATGGGTGAGTTGACAAATAGTATTATCGCATAATTCTATACAGACCTAGAACACACACACAGGGGTAGGAAATACATTTATCTTAGACACCTATTGCCAGTTATGTCAAAGTAGATACCTACTAATTTGCCTGCTCTGCATCTAATTAACTGTCAAACACCAAAGTGATTTCAAATTGATATTGCAGAATATTTCTAAAATGGGAAACTTGATATTACACCAATATTGACTCCTAAATAATATTAACATTCGATCAACAATATTTTGCAAGTATGACCCGAATAAGACTACAGCTACTTACACACCCAGAAAGAATAATATTTCAATATAAATTATACGTTCTTTAATATTCTTTCATCGTCATGTTCCAGGTCTCTGGTTGGATGACTCCAGTCCAGCTCGCTACGTGGCAGCATTCAACGCTCCTTCTGAAGAAGCAGCCAAGTTTTCCCGATACGGCTACGCTTCTCTACAAGCCGCCACTAAACTGAAGCAGCTCATCAAGTAAGTGGTAAACTTATAAAAGGTTACTGCAGCTGTTTATTTGTTGGTATCAAAGGAACTCTGTGGTCTATTTTTTAACGTTAGACTACATTAATACAATTTTAATTACAATGAAGCTACTATTGCTTTATACAGATAACCTTTTATGCTCAACTCAACCTCAATGCCATTTTTGTAATCTTAGAAAACACTTATGAATAAATTTTTACAATAACTATAAGTCGTCCTATTAATTAACACGTATGCTATAGGACGAATGAAGCGTAGTTCGCTTAGCAGGAGAAGGAACGAAGGGGTGGTTCCTAGTCAATAAGAGTCTCACACTCTCACCAAAAATATAGACCCGATATTTATAACGCCTAGCGTCTACTTATAAAATATGTCATTAATTTGTACCTTGCCACTGTATATTTCAATAATGTATATAAAAACTTCGCTAACGTAATATACACAGAAATATAACTCTTTTCTTATATCTATGGTAATATACCTATGTCACTTCAACGTTCCTATTACGCAACTCTGGTCAGGTTGTAATTAAAATGTAACTGCATTCAAAAAAGGGCAAATAATTTAGCTCGCGTGCAATCTTCAAGCTTAGCTGGATACTTTTCGAGATCCATCGTAACATGTAGATCTAATTACAGAGAAAACTCGAGAGGGCAAGGACCTCTCAGAAGTCTCCTCTCATCCAATTTCGAAGGAGTGTCTTCGTTTAATTGAAATCGCGATACGTAGGAATTTTAATTCACACGTTGAGTCGGTGTGAAATTAAAACTTGTTGTGAACTGAGAATTTGAATTCGTAATTTTGAATCTACTATTTGAGTTGAAGAATTGAAATGGCTTTGTATTTGATATTACGATGGGACTAATGATGTAGGTAAATGAAAAATGTTTGTATATTAATTGAATGCTTTGGTAAATATTACGCCTTTAAGGTTTTTTAAAGGGTAAAGTCATCAAATGCCCTCTAACGCCGTGGGTGATCATGTGTGATCACTTATTGACTAAAAAAAACCATTTCTTTCCTCCTCCTGCTCCGAACGGGAATTAAAGGAAAGATAAGTCGACAATGGTATTTTATTTTGGTGGTTATTATTTTGTTTAATACTTTACTTCATTCCTTATACCCTTATGCATTTAGAGAGATAACTCGACTAGTATGAAGCACGCTAGGGGCTCATATTTATAAGCAGCATTGCTCGCAATACGATGCGGTGTAAGTCGCACAGCCAACAAATATTTGCTGTAAAAATATAATAACAATGAACAAAAAGACGTAAATCAAACTAACACAAATGATTTAGGCGTCAATGAATTTATTCACTTCAGTGTCACCGGACAATGGTCTTAGAAGACTGTCAATATTGCCACGTTGTAATACATACTCCTGTAATTGTTTTACTATTGAAAACCAAAACCAGCACCTAACTAGTAATTTGCCTTAAATTTCCTCCATTACAAATAATATATTGGTTAAAAATATTGAATTAAATGTATAAAAACACAATACCGACCTTTCTCATGCTGTAGATACAAACACTACTCCATAAGCTATATTACTTCAACAAAAAAAAACCGAATTGAAATCGGATCATAATGACGAGACCACACAGTATCCGTCCTGTGTCTGATATTAGAATACAAATTGCTTCCATCGAGATACACGCCATAAATTACCTTAGAACACCATATTACCCTTGACGTACCCAAGGATGTCAGCAGTTACGTAATTATCTTTGATGCAGTTTACCTGTCGCAATGAGAACCGTGCGCCGGCGCCGATCCACGCAATTTCTCGATCATTCTCCAATGATACGCTCCACAATCTGTGCGTTGAACTTTTCATAAACTTGTTTTTTAAGGATTTCAAAAGTAATTCGATTTTTTTTTCTTTATATCGATTTAAGCTAATAATATAATCGTCATTAGTGCTGCGAATGACGATTGCATCCGCTCCGATGTTGCAGTTTGCAATTTTGAAATGTACAATTTAATATCTTTATTTATTAAGTAATTTTAATTCGGTTTGTATTGGCCTTGTGTTTTCTTATTTAAGTTTGATTTGATTTTTATTATTATACTAACTTTTAACGTAATTTCTTCTGATGCTTAACTCTTTTTGGTCGTCACAACGTTTTAAAGTCTTTTGGACTATCCAACTCAAAGAATTATTCAGTCAAATGGACATAGGCATTATGCTATAATATTATTTCAATATTAGTATACATTGAAATAACATTTTTTGATGATTTTTGTTCATTTTGCGGTTTGTTTGATTTATTAGTAATAAATATTGAATATCATCTATATCATTTAATATCGAAGTGGTAATACAGTATATATAGTTCTAATAATTAATAGAACTGTATGATTTGGGACTTAAAGGCTCACTGTAAGAAAACACAAGGAATTTCAAACCCCTTTCTTTAGCAGCGTTACTGCAAAAGCAGATGATCATAATGTAATTGGCAATTGGCTCCACCCATGACAAGTATACTGAAGCAGTACGTTAAGAATCTTAAATGTACTTACATATAATCTAGATAAAAAAATAAAAATATGAAATTTCGTTTATTTTTTTAATTCACTATTTACGTGTGTGAGACTCGTACTTCGGCACGATTGAGCCAGCCCAACCGAAGTCAAGCCAAACCTCCCTGAAAATCGACGTGAAACTACAAGAAAGACTTTTTCGCAGCGTGAGTGAGGTTGCCGGATGCCCAGTCGTTTCTCTCCCCTATTACAATCCCCAAATCCCCAGTCCTCAAAGCCCCAAAACTCCCAAAAGGCAACCACGCAGTTTAACTTGATTGAATGCTTACCTTCAGGTGTTTCGCTAGTCAAGTAATAAAAAATCTACACGAGTAAACAGCAAAAACTTTTTATTAAATGACTTGTATTTTTACACTGATTGCTCACTGTGTGGCAGTCTCGGTCAGGTGGTCTATTAAAAAGGACCACCTAGTAATTCAATTTAGGATAATAAATCATCTAATAGATCGTTACTGAAGAAAAAAAACGGTAAACCAATTATGTGAATAAACACATGGATAAATGAGTCAAGTTCTATTTGTGTCTCAGATTAAATTATTGCATTTTGAAATTTTCTATGGAAGGATCTTGTAATTAAGTAGTTTCTTTGGTCAAAAATAAATTAATTCCACGTTTAAATACCTACAATAAAATATTGAAAAATAACTATACTTTTATTCATCGATCGATCAATACACTAAATTATTTATAAGCTATTTGACGCAAAAATACTATGATGTCATAACTCAGTTCTTCATACAAATTTCATAGAAAGGCCGTTTTTGATATTTGAAAGCAAAAAAAAATGTATTTATTCGCGTCTACGACGCAGAACAAACAAGTGTTTAAACACAAGAACAAAAAAAACATGGTAACACAATATAAAAAAGAGTAGGTAATATTTGGTTAAAAGTATTAAATTTGACTACCGTACTACCGTATTATATTTGGCAATACGGATCTCAAAACCTCGGCTCAACGGCTATCATTAAAGTAACTGAAAACTACGGTGAAAAAGAGTGAGAAGAGGCTAATATATAATTAAAATACATTCAATGTAAAAATATAAAGTTCATCAAAATCGGTCGAGATGTTCTTGAATAAAAAAATTTAAGCATAACTAACACAACTTTCGGGTAAACTAGCTTGACGCCATGGCGTCCTCACCTTCCACCTGACCCAGGTGCTTACCCGACATGGCAACTTCGGTAAGTTCCTGTTTAGGAAACGCCCGAGACCGGACCACCTAGAGGACATGGTGAAACATACAGTAGCCGTACGTACAGTACGTACAGTAGCTTGGGCTGAGCACCGCCGTGTCCTCAGGGAAGTGATTGGCGGCGGCGAACTCCGCCCGGCCTTAGTTGAGTCATAGAGGGAGCTATCCTCCTCCCGGCCAACAGCCACAGTAGGAAAGACTCGGTAGGATGATCGAGTGGTGATCTCCGGCCACCGTAAGCTGGGGCGAGTAAGGGTCTCGCCGGTCGCCGCCCGACCAGAACCAGACCCGAGCGTAAGTCGCGTTGCATTCCACGTGCGCCTCAAAGAGGCAATAGAACACTACAGAGGCCCTATGTTTGATTTTTATCCAAGGTAGAGTGGCAAGCGCAATAAGGCACTGCGGTCTCATCTTAGGAACAGGAGAAGGAACGAGAGAGGTTTAGTCAGTAAGAGTCGATTACGTTCCCATCACAAAAAATTAATCAAATCAAAATCATTTATTCCACTAAACTATAAATAGGTACTTTTGAAACGTCAAAATAGAATAGTAAGTAGTCTGTCAGTCTGTTCGTCAGTGAAGCTAGGTGCTCGTTCCAAATTGTAATTTCGAATGGAGATACAAAACTAACACTATATAAAACAACTAGAGATAGATTACTTTTCATAATCAAAATGTGTATCACTAGATAATAAATCAAAAACGCACAAGTCAAGTTTTCAAGGCTATTACTAATGAGCTATGCAAATTATAGCAACCACAGATGGTTCTAGCCTTGTTATTTACGTATGGCAACACCTTTCTAAGTGTTGCAAGTGTTAAAAATTCACACGAGATCGAAATAAATCTTGTATCGATTAAATCGAAGATGAACGGCTGGTCGTTGTTTATTAAAGCCTTGAAGGCTCTGAAATATGTTTGTAATAGTTGATTACGCTATTTATAGCAATGCTGTATAACTTTAATAATTGCAAGTGTGTCTGAATGGCTTTAGCAAAACTCAAGTCTGAAATCATTATTGAATTGTTATTGCTTGTAAGACAACACCTTGAATAGTATCTACATCATCACACACGTCATAATCTATATATATAAAAGAAAGTCGTGTTAGTTACTCCACTTATAACTCAACAACGACTGAACCGATTAAGCTGAAAATTGGCAGGGAGGTAGTTTAGAGCCAGGAAAAGGACATAGGATAGAAGATAGAGTAGGTAGTGTAGGTAAGGTAGAGTTGGGTAGGTAGTC